TTCAACCAAATTTTCGCATGCAATCATAAAATTTGTAATTTACACCCTTCAAAAAAAGTATGTTTTGAAGTGACCACAATGGAATGTTCGAGTGGACATCAGAACACAGAGATCCGCCCTCAGACACAACATGTGGTTGTCATGCCAACAATGTAGACTTCACTCCACTACTACAACGAATCTCATTCACTACTCCCAACGACTCGTACTAGCCCTTAGTGACGAGGGCTTGGGGCTGAAAATAATCGAGCCGGATAATTCATTCCTGTGGTGTAAAAGCCCCTGCCTAGCAAAAAAGACCCCACTCGTCAACAAGCAGTTTTATGGTTCGGACCTATGCTTATAACCCGTCATCACAGGGTAACTTCTTCGGGAGTACATCCACACCGTCTTTGAACCAACAAGCTCGCCAACAGGCTAAGGAAGTGAGAATAAGCGATGTGGAGCTTGTTCCCGTTCGAAATTCACTCCCTCCGGCTCAAAATGAGCAATCCTATACTCAACAAGCGGTCCCAGCTTGTCCTTGTCAGCTGCCTCAGCCTTTCTACACTCCATTTCATTCACCTTATGTCGATCCGATTGGCTCAATAGTTGGACTAAGAGTACTGTATCTTGAAGGAAAATTATGCTACGTTCCGATTGAACCACAGCTCAACTACGTTATTAATCAGCAATTTGGAGTAAGTGCTCATCTAACTTTATTTTCATGTTTTCCTAAGTGAATATGTTTCAGAATGGCCTTTGCATGCATATGGGTAACCGATATCTTTCACAAAAAGATGACTTTCGCTACGTAAACAATTACGATTCTCAAAATGATAATCAGAATAACCAAATTCAAAGACAAAGCCGCTATGAAGCACCTCCAGCCCCAAATACGACTAAACCGCAGCAGGTATGCTAAATCGAGGTTCACCTCAAAACCTCATTTACTAGGTGAAATATTCGTTTTGCTATTCTTTTCGAAAAACTGGGTTTGAGAAAAAAAGCGCTGTCAAGGAGATTTTATTGTGTATCGCGGATGAGTTCAGGAGCAATACGCTACCGGACGTGACATGGCCAGCACCTTCGCCACGATTTCGACCAAAACACGACAACAAGATGATGTGGTCAGTTTTCTGATGTACAGTAAGCTTACAGTAATTCTGTGTTTCGTAATTACCGCTTCTTGTACTGCTGAATCATAGCAGAATTTTCAGCTTTTCTGATTCAAACCAACAAAATTCAAAGAACTTTGCTCTTCAAAACTCCAATTTTCGTTAGCAACCGAATGTAATGAAATCTAATCTATAATAGCATTAAAAACGAAAAGGAACCATTAGTTAGCAAAAGAAAAATTAATTGATTTATTACCACTAATTCACTTTTCCATCATGTTATCAAATCTTTTATTCACGATGTTTTGGAATCAAAAAGTTACAACTTGCCCTTTAAGTGCTACTTTTTTATGAATACTAAATTTTTTATGCATTCACTCTGCTCTAAACATGGTTTGCATGGTTTGTTTTCAGATTAACTTTTTAACTTTATTTTTTCCCACTGCTAAATTGCTAATGCATTCACTTTATTCTTGTCATAACTCCTTATTCCCACTCTTGCATTTTGCAGCCATTCAAATGTAAAACCCCGTAAACATCAAAATAAACGTCACATGAACTTTCCGGCAAAATATTTTGACCTTATTGTTAGGCGCAGAGCAATTTGTGAGACTAGAGACTACAAAACTTCCTGAAAAAAAAAACTCTGCACATTTACGTTGAATGGCTTTTCATGTTTACTTATTTTATACCTTTCCTATAATGGAAGAACTTCACAAGATTTGCATTCACATTTATCTATTGACCACACTTTAACCATAAGCGATCTAAACATAATCTGAGACTGCTTTTTGCATATTTTCGAAACGAACAGAATTTCTTGCAATTAATCTACTATAATCCATCAGAGAGTAAGATGCAGCCTCTTGCTTAGAATAAGTCTTAATTTCCTGTCGACGACTCTTGGTCAGTATAGTTACAAATCTAGGAAAAATTGATGAAGTAACATAAATGGATATGTAAGCTTTTATAAGGTCTAATGTATTAGGTTGATGCATAATTCCTGCACCAAAATAG